TGCGCGGCTCTGATAGTTTTTTTTTCAAAAGTGCACGGCTCTGATGTTCTCCCATTTTTCCCACAAGGGAATAGAAGCCACATTCTTTTGTAGGCTAATTGTCAAGGCCTTTATGGCATAAGATACGGGTCCTTGAGTACAAAACGGTAATAATATACCACATAGCAGATGTGATGGTGGTGGTGGTGGTGATGATGATGATGATGATGATGATGTGGAAGTCGAGGATGATGATGATGATGTGGAAGTCGAGGATGATGATGATGATGATGATGATGATGATGATGATGATGATGATGATGATGATGATGATGATGATGATGATGATGATAAGGAGGAGGAGGAAGAGGAGGATGATGATGGTAAATGTTGCTCCTGAGGAAGCCTATGTGGCGAAACGTTGAGCCGATTTAATAAACCACATTTCAAAAATTTATATTGTTTGTCTGCAACTCTATCAAGACTCTCCCTTCCTACTCTGCTTTTAAAACAGTGATGATGGTGATGATGATGATGATGATGATGATGAATAATTTCGTTTTAAAATACATTTAACTGGCCTGAAATATAATCAAGTCCCCATAATATACTTTTCTACGTTACCGGTACATCGACGACGACAAAAATTATGATAATGATGATGTTTACGCGTTTCGTTTGTTTGTTTTTTTATTTTTAGGAAACATGCAACATAATGATAATGAGCTTCGATTTTTTTTCCCTCGAGCGTTTACATTCAGCATTAGACTTGGTATTCAATATTTCAGACTGCCAGTCAGTGCATCAGCTTGCATTTCACAGATCAACCTGACGCGCGCGCACACACACACACACACACACACACACACACACACACACACATGCAAACACACACGCACATACACACACACACACACACACACACTCACACACAGACACACGCGATTTTTATATCATAGGCCTACATAATAAAGCATGCGAGAATGATAGACATAATAATACATGTGTTGATAAATAGATGAAAGCAAGGATACATCCCAGCAAAAAGACTAAATAATTCAATTTTTTAATGAAATTTCTCCACCCCCCCCCCTCCAACCCCACCCTCTCGGGATGGAATCAAACTTCGGTTTCTAGTGCAGATGCCAAATTGCCTTTAAAAAATTACACCATAGTCACCAGTGAATAGAATTTAGTACTTGTCAGAATTTTACTGACGGCCCTCACAACGAAATAAAAATGTATTTGTAGACTTTTACACCTCAATCAACACAATTCAGACCATTTAGTAAGCTGGCTACTTGGACCCTGCCTGCCAGGGCCAAACCAAGGCCAAGGATACAATGTCCCAAAAGACTTAAGTTTTCCACATGGGAATCGAACTCACGTTTTCCACTTGCGACGGAGAAGCATCTAACCGATTTTAGTTTTAGTAAGAGTTTTACGGCATTTGCAACACAATAAGGTCATATAAGTGCCGAAGAATAGACATGTTACAAGAGAGTAACAAACACAAAAAGGAGGAGAGATCAGGACGATAGATCATATTTGATAGAAAAGAAGGAGCAAACCACACCAGAGCACCCGCCAACCACCCACATCTAATTGTTACACCACAGAATCAAAGAATAAAGGAAAGTTGAATTTTTTGTTTGTTTGAGTAAAGAGAAGCACATTAACATAATAACGGTCACTACGTGCAGGGAAGAAGCAAGACAGACAGACAGACAGACAGACAGACAGACAGCAACAACATAAGGAAAGAAAAAAAGAGGGACCTACCATTGGATCGCTCCAAACCACCCACAAAAGCTGAACAGTATATGTGCTTTTTTATGGTTTTAGTAAGAGTTTTACGGCACTTGCAACACAATTAGTGGCGAAGAGTACAGGTGTTACAAGAGAGTAACAAACACTTTAAGAAGGAGAGAAAAGGACGATAGATGTTTGGTGTAGGAAAGAAGGAGCAAATCACACCAGAGCACCCGCAAACCATCCACTGAGTAGTACAAACATGTATGCACACCACATCAACAAATACTAACGAATGATTAACTCGAAACAAATTATACATCACCAAAATACTTTAATTCTTATGCCACTTCAATATCAGTATCTATGGACAATGTAGTAGTAACAGATGGGAGCTCTCGTACAAGGGCCATTCCAAGTAATATTGGGTCTCAACACACTCACAGTACTATTGAAAACATACCGCGTGGACACATTTCCATTGATCGTTATTATCATCATTTTCATTATCATAACTATTATTAAATATTATATGTATTATTATCATTAGTATTATTAGTAGTATCAATATTTATCACTAATAAAAATAATAATAATTATTATTATCATTATTTTCTTTTTTTGGTACAGGAGTTTTTACACAGCAGCCAACACAATCTGGATCATTTAGGACCCAGCTTGTCAGGGCCACTCTGGGCTGAGAGGGACATAACATCCTAGCAGAAAGACCAAGATGCTAAATAAAAATTCTCCCCACTCAGGAGTCGAACTCAGATCTCCAATTATTGGTAACGGCGAAGGGCCTAACCACTACGCAACAAAATCCAGTTAATTCATAAATTCAAAGTAAATTAGTAGTTGAAATGTAGCGGAAAATAGTCTCAACAACAAAAAAAGGGAATCAATCACTGCTGCATAGATTTTATTTTTTTTACAGCTGGTTACCATCCCCCAAGTTACTTGTGGTGTCTCTACAGTTTCCACTTTCGTGGAATGGCCCAAAGAACCACTCATCCCTACATCACACCTTGGACAATACTTGAACTTTACCAACACACCCATCAGCACAAACGCTTTATTGCAACTACAACAAGAGGAACCCTCTAGGGTCCAGCTACACACCCGTAAAGGTGGGGGGGGGGGGGTATCTTTCCATGCGGGACAGGGCCTTAGACTTCAAAGTATAATAATATCCAAGACAGTGCGCTCTCACGTATTTCCTGTCAAAGCACCTAAGACCATTTGGGAGATGGACTGTTTTTACCGTGCCTGTCTGGACAATTCCAAGCTGAGTTGGACTCTGCATTTCAGCACAAAGATGGAGATACGTGTATTCGAAAAAGGAACAAAAAAAAACAACAACATGTTTTCCAATGTTGGAATTTGAAACTCATGTTTACTCATGGTTTTTTTTCAAGAAACAGCCAACAGGCCAAACCAATACACCACCTACACTGGTAGCCTCAGAACAGGGGAGCAGTAGACTTGAGACAATATTTAAAGAGCTGTCACTAATTCTTAAACGGTAAAGAGAGTAAACGCTTTTTGAGTGACGTCCAAGCTATGTTACTGTGTTATTATAAGTTGCTCACTGAAGCTCTCAAAAAAAGGTTCATTGCATCTTCAGTCCTCCACTTTAAATACAACGCCAAGTCCCGACTTGTTTTACTTTCTTGGTACTCATTTTAAATGTTCCTTTTGTGCTACATGTACTTGTCACACATACTATACAACCAGCAAACACAACAATATACAATTATCTAAAATTGAAAACTTGAGAAAATGACTGGGCTTAAGTTCAAAATGGCAAAAATGAGAGACTTTCCCACATCTACTGATAGTGCACATGACACTCTACCGTCAAAGGTGCAGCAAGAAAAAAGGAAAAAACTCATATCCCAAAGGAAATATAGACCATATTTCTTTTTTTGCCTTTTTTTTCCGTTCAGCAAAAACTGACTTAGGCACAGTCTTGTTCTCAGTAGTCTTCAATTGTAAGTGCAGGAAAAAAATAAAACATTACAATGACTGATAACTTCAGCTGTCATAACTTCTGACATGGAAATAAAGTCTACAATTTAAGCTGTGATCATTGATTTCTTAGTCACTCAGTACATGGATGCATACTTTCCATGTCAGTACAACTACAACCAGCAGGTCACACACAGCAGGAAGGCACTGGCCACAGATAGTGAAGATATACTCAAAGCAGTGGATATACTCGCATAATGCGATATAAAACTCTTTAACGTATGAACATAGATTTCGAATAGAACCAAGACAATCATAACCCCTGCCTCGTGAAATAAGAGGGAGCTGAGAACAAACGTAAGAAAAGAAATTATTCAACTTCGTGTATACCGATGTTCTTCAATCCTTTCAATAAAAGCACATTAGCATGGAGCTTTCCAAAACCCCAACTAATAGGAACAAGATATATCCAATATTAATTACTTTTTCCATTTATGCTACTGTTTCAAAGGATTTCGCTCTTTATTTCATCCAATAATTCTTATATTAGTTGAAACCAGAATACACAACGATGTTTAGGAATAAAAACAAGAGTAGCAGAGACTTAACTTTCCTTAGTTTTAGTAGAGGTTTTACGGCGCTGGCAACAGCATAAGGTCATATGAGCGCCAAGGGGTGGATGTCAACAGAGAAGTCCTTTCAGGGAATCAAACTTACTCTGCTCACCTCTCTAGCTTCAACAGCACAAAGTCTACTTCGACTATCAAGGCACCCCGGAAATAGCGGCTCACAAGAGTGTGACAAACATACAAAAGAAGTAGAGGTAAATGACGATAGTAAAGATTAGGAAAGAAAAAGCAGCAGTTTCCTGTTGTAGTTCAGGCACACTTATGAGCATGACATTGTTGGGTCAGCCCATTTACAATTCTAGTGTGCATTAGAACGAAAAATGTCCCCCCTTTAGGAATGGCCTACAGACACTTCAGTCAGTGGCACCGCCCTGGGGACATTAACTTTCCTGACACAAGCGTTCTTTGCCGATTTCCAACAGGATTTCTCAGAGCGCAACGACATATTTCAATCAAAAGGTCTACAACAGGGACGTCCCACTAGCTCAGACACAGCAGAACTATCAAGGAACTAAAGAAAAAACAACTACATAATTACATGTTTTTCTATACACCCACGACTATGTACAGAGAACACAGTTCTGAATTATGCAAGTTCATTTTTTTCCCTCAACATCATAGAACAACAAATTAACATGCATATTACAAAGGAAGAAAAGCCGTCAGCAAGCTGCTCAAATGTATTTAAAATTTGAATTTCAACAAAATATTTTCTTCGTTTTTTAGTTATAGTAAGAGTTTTACAGCACTTGCAACACAATAAGGTCATAAAAGTGTAAAAATATTTTCTTGAGCACTGATGCAACATAAGCAAAAGATTAAGAAACTGCAATTTAAAAAGATTCATTTTCAACTATTTGGGTTGAACATATCTGAACAGCTGGCCGACGAAGAAAGTCATCACAGAAAACCTTAAAGGACAGATCCAACATGAAGAATATTAACAAAACCAAAAGAAAAAAAATGTTTCTTATCAAGAACTGAAATCAGCTGTTTTTACTCCAAAAAATTTCTTTCCATTAAAAAAAAGATGTGTTATAGATATCCATAGACCTTTCAGCAAAGCATGATCTGGCTGAAGGTCAAAAGGAGCACTTCTCACTCTCGATGGAGGTCAAGAGTTTCCATTTCCCACAGCCAGAAATGAACACTAACGAGATGAAAATCTCTGCAGCAACCGAGCAGCAACCTCTGGCAAATGCAACTTGGATAAGGTCAGTGACTTCATGTTCAGGGAAGATGCTAACAACATCACTTTAAAAAAATAGAAGAGTGTAACCGAATTCACCTGTACAAATGACACTTTCCACTTTCCCCACTGCATTTTTTTCTCAATATTATAATTGTGCTGTCCAAGACGTCTGGCAAGGTCCACAGCTAGAAAATCTAGGAAGACATTTAAAACGTCGTGTATAAGACTATGAATGAAATGTATCATGACCAAATGGTAGACAAGAACAAGCGAAAAAAATTTTGACAAAAATTCTGCTAAAAAATGTACACAGTAATGCCTGGTAGAATACCCAACGTGGATAAAAAATAAATCAACGGATTCAACCTACTAATTTAAAAAATCTACGTCTCAACACTCATTTCTCTGCCACAGACTAAACCACTAGCTCACTACCCATTTCTTTCCTTGCATACTAAACATTCTCCTACTTAATGCTTGCTTCATCACAAGCACAAGAGATAATATATGTTACCAGTTTCATGTCACTATGATAAGGGCCTTTAAACACTGGGTGTTCACCAAAGAGCTGACAAAACGCTACCATAGAATTACAAAGTTCTATCTGCTCAGTGCTCAGTTTTGATAAATTTGACATAAAGAATTTTGACACAATATGTAAAGATTTTTAAAATGCAATTCTTTGACTATCTTGATAACGATTCAGTTCAATGTTGTGTATACTGATTTTGATAGAGCAGATAGAGCATTTAATTTCTAATCTCGTGGTATTAGTAACTCAAAATGGCTAAAAATGTCAGACATAACTTTGTAAAAACCTTTCCTAGACTCCAGGGTAAAGTGACAGTATTTGCAATAACAACACTTTTGTCTCACAACTAACATACTAGTATCTAGTAGTGAGTGTCGTCAGTTCTTAAGGTGGAAAAAAATTGAACCGACACATTACAGAATATAGCTAACCCTCTACATTGATGAAGTAAAATAGAATACTTCGTCACCTCAGAACTATTTTGTCCAAAGTGCTTCTTTACTTAAGTACACTTGGGACAAAATAGTTCTGAGGCGACAATCCACCATTATAAGATCTACTTCAAGTTCTTCTATTGGAACAAAGTCTTTCAAACCGTTGGAAAGAAAAGAGAAAAGAGTAACAAGTCATTTACCATTCTGAGACAAGAATGTACCTTCTCTAGCCAATAAACTTTTATCATTTGAAAACTGAAGAAGGAGAAAGTAAGCCTCTGTGATTCAAGTATGTGAGTGGTTGGCAACTACGGAAAATCCAATTTAAAAAAGTAAAAACAAAGCAACAAACACGATCAGATCAGTAACAGACTTCCTGTTGATGGACATTGTAAAGCTGTTGATATTCATTCTGATGTTCTTGAACAGAGGTACCAATTAGCTGTGAAAAACATACTGAACTTTTGGACCTCCTGAAAATGTGCATGCAGGGACTAAAAATTTATGGACCATTTTGTCAAAAACAATTTGTTTCAAGACTGTTCTTAAACAAAGTGCAACCACTTCTCAACAACTGGCCTGAAGTCTGGCACCTTTGCTTGAAAACTTTTTTATTTGGAGCAGGACACGTCAAACTTTTATTCACCAGGAGCATGTTTGAACTTCAGCGTAGTATTTGCATCCACATTATAATGCCGAGCAAGCATTATGGTCACAAAGCTGTTTTTCTTTTGAGTTGGAGATTTAAAAAATATGAGAAGTTTTGAGCATGTCTCAACACATAGCATACAATGTCCAAAGAAGATCTTAAGCAATTACCAAAAGAGTAATAATAAATATAATATACTTTAAAAAAAAAAATACCATAGATCTGACTGCTCCTTTAGGGTATTAAAAACAATCAATACTGTACTTTTGCAGCTGTATCCAAATGAACACCAGGAGGAACTCAACAGACCACATGTAAGCACTCTGCACATATAATATGATAATACCACAAGCCACATGGGATGCATTAATACTCAAAATCAACAGGGAGACAGAATAAGTGGATAAGATACTATTATCTCTCCACCTCTTCATACTTGACAACATAACATTAATCTGTATAGTCATAACACACATACTCTTTTTTTTCTCTGCATGCAAATTATAAAAATACAAAAAGCAGCAGTGTGTATATATGAACATGTACTATGATCCTCAAATATTAATAAAGCTATTATAATATGCTCATTTCACAACTGCCCAAGTCATATTTTTTTTAATTGAAAGGTCACTACCTCCCTCAGACAATCTTCACACTTTTACTTGTTTCAAAACAAATACAAAAGCACCTGTGTGTGTGTTGACATGGCATTCATAGGAATGAGTTTTAGAAATTTGAACAGATTGTCGCCTCAGAACGAATTGGTCCAAAGTTTACTTAAGTCTTTACTTTGGACAAAATAGTTCTGAGGCAACCAGACACCGAATTTAACTTCATTTTCTGAGAAATTGCAAAGCGACTTGGGCCAGTTGTAGAATGAACATAGCAGAGCACAAATATATTACAACACCTCAAACATTCTCCCACAAAGTGATAAAGGTCATAAATAAATAAGATTTAGATTCACATTAAAGATAAGATCAGGTTTTAAAGTATGAAACAAACCCATCAAAAAATCAAATAAAATTATCAAAACAAGTTGAGGTGATGACAGGGATGTTCGTAGAAGAAAAAAAAACCACAGGACCACAAGGAAATACTACTCACAGAACTGTAACTTTGAAATTCACGGGTCAAGAGCAAAAAAGATTCCATCAATGAACAAAACAACCCACACTGCTAATGGAACCTTTTTACATTTTTGACCGTGGTAGTTGAGTCAATAATATTTCCAGGAGGGGTAATAAGTAGAACATGACATAAGGTAAAAATCAGCTATAAATGAGACATAACTGCCCTCCTGCATCGTGAGGTGAATGGTCGGGGAGCTCAGAGCTCATCACTGGTGTGCCACTAGCGTAAGCACCAGCCTCAGCATACAGCTCAGGACTATCTTCATCGTGCCAAGGCTCACTCGCCCAAGTCCCAAAAGTCGGCACAAAATCCCTGAAGGAGACAAAGGACTACTTCGTGACTGTTTCAACTTCCTCGTTTGATTTTTAAAAACGCAGCAGCAAAGGGAGGCAATCGCACTAATAGTTCATCCATTCCCCCTTCTTTGCTTATATGAAACAAGCAACCAATACAAACACGCCTTTGTCCATGTGTGTTGGGAATTGAATTGCACGAAAATATCTGAGCAGTCAGTCTGCAATTTACAATCTTAAATTACGTGGCAAAGAAATTTATGACATATGAAAACAAACCCTGGATAAGAGCATAGGTCACGGGGTCACAGGTCTCCCCCATGTTCAGCACATTCTTCTCATTGACAAGCAGGAATACCACCAGAAGTGTTGGAACAAGGCTACTGTTGTTCAAAATACGAAGTGACTGGAATTTTGAACACTTTGTAAATCTACAATCTGACATTGATTTCTTTCTCGGAAATCTGTTTTCTGCAAAAATGATCATACCTGATTCCTATATCTGCCTTTTCTGCTGTCACAGGCAGTGCTACTGTAAAATTCACAATTCTTTTCAAGATGTGCAACCTTCGTAACATAATTCAAACTAAAGTACTACAGCTTAGAACTTTTAAGCAAGCAGCCACACTTTGACCCAACGACTTAAGAATGTCAACAAAAACAAAAGTTGCAAACATCCTGCAGCAGAAAACGCATTGAGTCTTTCGTTTTTCAGCGGGGTGAGGGCAAAACCAAGGGAAGAACATGCAGGACATGGGGGGGAAAAAACACAACTGACCCGATGACTCTACAGAGTAGACTAGAAAATTCTCACAAGTAGCAGCTTCAACAAGGCAGGCACATGTTGGAGTAGCTTACACCCAGAATTTACATTCTGATGGCTGGACGCAAGACTCCGATGAACATCATTTTGCAATTTGGCGTTTGTCGAAGTCTTGGACCCAGCCATCGATTTGACCTTGTTAAATTGTCAAACAAAATCAGTTAATCAGTTGATCGTTTATTCTCAGCTACAAATATCAAAACTGAGGTCTTGCAGCAAAAATTAAATCACCAGAAAAGCCTACCATTATTTCAGGTTAGTTATTATATCATGATCACTTCCTTCACACCATAGGGTTCCACACCTCTATTTCACTGTAATACTTCCATTAACAATCCAAAATAAAACAAAGGAGAGGGGTAGAGTAGGAAAACAAAGGGGGGGGGGGGGGGATAGAGAACAGAGAATAGAAGGTTATATATTTGAGAAACGAGGAAAAGAAAGAGAGCACAAAAATACCAAAAAACCCGAAGGTCAAAAACCCACATTCTACGGTCAGTCGGAAACATGAATATCTAAAACTCCCCTGCTGGACAGCTCTCAACTGACCACACTAAAACACACAGGCGTCAAATTCATTCAGAGTTTTTCCCCCCACCCCCCACAAAAAAAGATCTAGAAGGAACCCGGCATTAACTTTCTCCTTTGCTGTAGCCATAGGGATTGTTCGACTGCCACCTCCACAGATCTTCACCTGATAGGGACAAAAATGAAATAAATAAATAAATAAATAAAATTTAAATTTCTAAAATTTTAATTCACAGCAATGACAGGTTATGTCTTGAAGCATAAAGTCATTTGCAGTGTAAAAATAACCACCTTTTGTAGGGTGGGTTTTTTTAAAAACTGATATCATTTTCTTTAAGTTTACCATGTCTTTTATCATTGCATACTAATAAATTGTTCAAACTCAACTAATAAATTTGACGTAGTACTAAAATCCAAAAAGTAACTTATTACATCAGCATGCGTCACATTTGTCTTAAGTCTGGCTTTGGCTAAAATGGCAGCACCATGACAATATGTGTCTCGGTCCAGTGAAATCAGGCGCTTGCTGATTTTTAGGCATATACAGTTATTGGTATCATCTTAAAGCTTGTTTATTTGTCCTGTGCTTCTAGATGATAAAAAAAAAGCAGTCTATCTCAAAAAGATTTGCAATTGAAGGAGGTAGGAGTTTCCTGATGTCCTAGGTAAAATAAGCAAGAAAATGACCGCCAACATAAATTTATATTTTCTGCGCCTTTGATTTACATTTCTCAGTAAAATACACACAGAAATGTGTCTTTAAATGGACATAAAGGGTGTGTAGCCAAAAAAAGAAAACAGATAAAAACTGCCCAAGTAGAAGAATAATGCCACGAGTCTTTTTTATTTCTTTATTTTGAGAAGCACCTGATTTCAGGTGAATGCCACACACATAAGTGTCAAGGGGTGGTGGAGTCAGGCGATCGTCAATTTTTGGGCGTGTGGAGTTATTGGTACCCGCTTAAGGCTTCTTCATTTGTCTTGCTTTCAATGAAAAAATTATCCATTTATCTTCGATACAAGTCGACATATTGGTGATCGAAGGAGATGGGGTCACCTGGTTTCAGAGGTAAAATTTGCGAGAAAATGGACGCAAAGTTCTGTTATTTCCTTAACTTGTGAGCCCGTGGAAATTAAAAATTTCCATTTTTTGTGCCTTTAATCAACATTTTTCAGTAAAATTCACACAGACATGGCTCCTTTAATGGGCATGAAAGGTGTGGAGCCAAACAAAAAAAAATTGATAAAAATTTTAAAAACTTGAGGGAAAATGCCAGTTTCTTCACTTCGATTATTTTGACAAGCGCATGATTTCACCACGCTGCCTCACATATGATACAGTATTTAACAACAGCTACTTACACATCTCGTCCAGGTTGCGGGTACACTTCCAGCCCAGCTCTTTCTCGGCCTTCTCTGGGTTGGCGTACACTGTAGCAATATCTCCTGGCCGCCGTCCTGCCAGTTTGTAGGGAATCTGTGGGGAAGGGGGGTTAGGTTTGTTTAAGTCAAGTAAGAGTATTATGTTTGTTTGTTTGAGTGGGTGTTAAACGGCACTGTCAACTCAGTTTTGGTCAGTTTTATGACACTTGGAACACAATAAGGTCATATAAGTGCCGAAGATTAGAGGTGTTACTAAAGAGCAACAAAAACAAAGGAGCAAACCACAGCACAGCACCTGCCAACCATTTGCGGGGAAAGGGGGGTATACAGATCATTTGAGACGTGTTAAAATGTTTTGCTCTTTTCAGAGTTTTACAGCACTTTTAGTTTTAGTAAAAGTTTTACGTCACTTGCAACACAATAAGGCTATATAAATGCTGAAGATTAGAGGTGTTACAAGAGAGTAACGAACAAAAAAGAGAGGAGGAAAGAGAAGGACGATAGTTTTTTTATAGGAAAGAAAAATCAAACCACACCAATGCTCCCGCCAACAACCCACAATAACAACACTTGCAACACAAACAAGTCATATATGAGCTGAAGATTAGAGGTGTCACTAGAGAATAAAATACAATTGAAACTGTCTATAAGACAGCCGCCCTTTGTCGAGGAAAAAAGTGGGCGTCTTGTACAGTATCATTATATTGCAGAAAATATGAAAGGGAAGAAATAGGAAGAGGCTATTTGTATAGGTGACTGTCTTATACATGTGGCTGTAAGAGTAGTTTTCACTGCACAAAGAAAAGGAGGAGGAGAGATAAGCATAAGGGCGATAAATGTTTGATAGGAAAGAAGGAGTAAACCACACCAGAGTACCCGCCAACCAACCACCAAGACATGTTTGTCATGCTGCAGTGCAAAAACCAGCACTTGGGGAGCTCATTTCAGCAAACTAAAATATCTCAACTGGATTTACATTACTGACTATCGGGGGTGAATTTCAAGGGGTACTATGGAGGGTTTACAAAAGATATTATAACAATTCTTGTTAAACTGTGGCCCCAATAGAAGAATTCTTTTCTAATATAGAAAAGTGTGGCAAAATAACTACTGTTACATAATACAATAAAATGCTTGTTGAGTAGAACTTTTTAACATAATAAAGCTTAATTACCAAAAAAACTTTGGAGACTCATATCTTTGGGTGGTTGTGGTTCAGATTCTTTGAAGAGGGTATTTCAGGGGAAGACGGACTGCAAGAATTAGAGCAAGGTGTGGCATAAACAGACCAACTACTATAACACAAAAGATAAGATTCTCCGACTGAACAGTTTTAAGACTAAATCCATTCAATACGACAAATTTTGCACTCTGGCACATCAAGATGTGGAAAATTGTCAAATTCCTTGACATACCAGGTACATCAATATGGCATTAGATTAGGGTTAACTGTTGAACGGCACAAAATTTGACGATGATCATTCACTCCTACAGCGAAAACAGTCCAGTACTCAAGTCTTACCGTTTTTCCAATAGCTTTCTCAAAAGCCTTGACCATGTCCAAGACAGAGTAGCCCACGCCAGTGCCCAAGTTGTACACCTGTGGAGACACAGGGAAAAGATCCCATGGAACCATTAGTTTTAGTATTACAACTGTTGTTAATATTATTATCATCATCATTATATAGTTATTTGGACGAGTAAAGGTGCCTCTGAGTATAATAACAATGGGGCCAAAAAAGAGCCTCTCTCTCGCTCGAAGAATTCTTTGTGGAGTTCACCAAGCCCATTTAGGAAACAAAAAAAGTTATCATTATTATCATTATCATTATTATAATCGTTACTATTATTACAGTTGACTACGAATGAGTTGATGTCATCGGGGGGGTGAAAAAAAAAAAAAATCATCCGAAGTTCAGCTTAACCGTTGGGATCTGAAAAGAAGAAGAGGTGCTGGGACCTGAGAAAGGGTTCAACTTAACTGAAAATAAACTCAAGCAGGTTCAACACAAGTGGAGTCAATTGTATTATTATTATTATATGAGAGACATTGCGGTGAAATCAGGTGCTCGTCAAAATAAGGAAATCGAAGAAACAGGCAGTTTTCCTCCAGTTTGGACATTTTTATTAGATTTTATTTTTTTGGCTCAACACCTTTGAGGTTCCTATAAAAATATATTTCCATGTGAATTTTGCTGAAAACAATTAATGGCACAAAATAGGTATATTTTCAGTGTTCAAGGACTCTCAAGCTATAGAGGTTGCAAACCTTTGGCGACCATTTTCTCGATAATTTTACTTCTGAAACCATGTCAACCTGACTTCCTTCAATCGCAAATATTTCGACCTCTATCCAAGATAGATGGGTGGTTTTTTTCACAGAAAGCAAGGCAAATGAATAAGCTTTCAGATGATACCAATAACTCCACGTGCCCAAAAATTTACGAGCACATGATTCCACTGCGTCGTGACAAATATCATTTCTATTCTATTATGTTTTTGTAGACTATGCCCGAGTAACAATAACACAAACATGGGCATGTCTTGAGGTAACTGTTGCTGTGTTGCTTACAACTTGTCAGACAAATGACAGAAATCTTTCCCCAAAGACCAAATTTTAACTATAACTAGTCTAGAGCATGCTCAGCACGTTTCTGCTATTACCAGGGCATTCAACGTCAACAAAAATTTGACGTTGACAATCATAGAAAGATGCGGAGCATGCCGATAGCTCGATTTCTCTGACATTGAGTTAAACCTTATTATCTTTCTAGGGTGACAATGATCAAACGTCATCAATGATTTTCTGATAAACAAAGACTTGAACATTATTTTTTTTTTTAAACAAAGAATAGAAAAAAATTGACAAGGTCAGGAAAAAAAGCCATTTTTCTAGTTTTTGATGCTGGTGATGTGGAACACTAATTGAAGCACCAAATGTTATCTTTTATAGCACATTCTACTTTTTAGACGGCTAAGTTCATAAAATTATTAAAAACCTCTTATATCGTGAACAATTTTAGAAATCACGATGTCCAGAATCATCCGGACAATCTGCAAATCTGATTAGTTCGCTAAATGAAACAAAGTAACCACGTACCACACATCCACAGCCAGTCTGCAGCTTCTTTGTAGCTGCTACGTGACCTTGAGCAAGGTCAACTATGTGAATGTAGTCACGAACACCTGAGAGGGTGAGGGGAAAAAAAGAACGCCTTGTATTTGACTTGACTGAGAAACAGACTCGATAAGATTTGTCGCAAAAAAGTAAAACGATACTATATTACGATGCTACTATGAAAAATTAAAATGTGTGTGACTCGATCAGCACACAGTATATGACCTACAAAGCCAAAAAAAAAAAAAAAAAAAAAAGAAAAAGAGAAAAACACACACATACACACAAACAAACAAACAACAAAAATGTATGAAATGACCGTCCCACACATCAACTCGTATAACCTGACTCCATAATACTAATCCATTAGTGTATATGATGCTACTATGAAAAACAAAAATATAGAGACTTGATCCCCACATATTAAGACGTATGATATGACCTACAAAGCAAAAAGAAAAAGAAAAGAAAAAGAGAAAACACACACACACAAACAAAAAAGTATGAAATGACCGTTGCACACACAGCCCCTCCTAACCTGACTCCATAATGCTACTCCAATAGTATATGATGCTACTATGAAAAACAAAAATATAGAGACTTGATCCCCACATATTAAAAAGTATGATATGACCTACAAAGCAAAAAAAAAAAGAAAAAGAAAAAAAGAAGAGAGAAAATGGCACATACAAACATGCACTCTATTAGTACATATAAGATACAACTATGAAAAAAGAAAATGTGAGTGGCTTGAATACCACACATTAAGAAGTAGAACATGACCTGCAAAGCAGAGAAAAAAACCGAAAAAAAAACCCCACACTCACAAACAAACAAACAAACAAAAAATGTATTATATAACCGTCCCATGTACAAACCCATATAACCCGACTCCATAATATTAAACTACTAAGAAAGAGCTCCGGGCAAACAAGCCCACACATATGACCTCACTCACCGGTGCCGTCCTTTGTGTCGTAGTCGCTGCCGTAGACGGTCAGATGTTCCCGCCTCCCCACAGCCACCTGGGCCACGTACGGCATCAGGTTGTTGGGCGCGCCCTGTGGGTTTTCCCCGATCTTGCCAGACTTGTGGGCCCCCACTGGGTTAAAGTAACGCAGCAATACGGCGTTCCAAGTCTGGGTGATCAAGTACAGAAAATAGAAGTAAGACTGCCGTTTCAACCATGAGTCAAAGTACAAAATAGAGCAGAATCGCAGTTGACAACAAGTATAACAGCTATATTCAATCACTAAAATTGAATGGCAAGACAAAGAGGAAAACAAGAGAGTTTTTGTGTTCGGTTGTTAAGGATGTCAAAGAAATTAGGCGACAATTCACAAGAATCATATTGGGATAACTATTTTGTAAAAGAAGTGGAAGGAACACATTTCATGACAGTGCCTACAACCACTTATAAGACAGATGGAGATATAGGAGAAATTCACACAAACAGATGGACAGATTATGTATATACAGTCTGATCTCATTCATGTGTAGGAAAAAAAAAAAAGAAAGGAATGACAAACTTCCACAAGTTGATAAAGTGCAAAAGCAACTGCGCCACAGAAACCTTTATCTAGGTCACTAAGATTACTGAAAGTACACATGTGTCACGACATGGTGGAGGTACCATTTTTAAGTCTGTCAATTTGCTTTGCTTTCGATGAAAAAAATATCCATATATCTAGGATACTAGGCGATTGAAAGCGGTGGGGGGTCGCCTGATTTCAGAGGTAAAATTAGCTAAAAAAATGGTCACCAGAGTTAAGTTATTTCCTTAGGTTGGCAATGACAATCTTTATTCATCTCACAGGGAGAAATTTGTCTTGGTCGTGAACAACGGCAGTAGATGTTGAGAGCCCGAGGAAACTGAAAATTTACACCTTTTATGTCTTTAATCAACGTTTTTCAGTCAAATTCACACAGAAATGTGTTCTTTAATGGGCATGAAAGGAGCTGAGCCAAAAAAACAAAAATTCGATAAAAATTCCAAAATCTGCAGAAAAATACCAATTTTTTCACTTTCATTATTTTGACGAGCGCCTGATTTCACCACACTGCCTCACATACAATCATTTTAATGCCTACACTCATTTTTTACAGAGAAGGAATAATGGCTCACTAAAGGCAACTGATACTGAATCTGCAATCACAAATTGAAGGGGCAGAAAAATGAAAGGTCTGAAAATAAGAGTTCTTTCTGGGACAACACATCAGGGGAGACTACACAACATTGCATTTGAATGAAATGACTGGATGGTTTTAAATCAGTTATGGCCTTTACAAATCACCCAAACCCTAAAAGTATGTTATTATGTGAGGCAGCGTGGTGAAATCAAGCGCTTGTCAAAATAATGAAAAGTCAAGAAACTGGCATTTTTCTGCGGGTTTGGGAATTTTTATCAAATATGTGTTTTTCGACTCAACACTTTTCATGCCCACTAAGATAAACATTTATGTGAGAATTTTACTTAAAAACATTGATTAAAGGCATTAAAGATGTAAATTTTCAGTTTCCCCGGACTCTCAAGCTAAGGAAATAACTCAACTTTGGCGGCCATTTTCTCACTAATTTAACATCTGAAACCAGGCAACCCCCACCTCCTTCAATAGCCTATACCTTGCCTTGTATCCAAAATAAAAGTACATTTTTTTCATCAAAGGCAAGGCAAATGGACAGGCTTTAAGATGATACCAATGACTCTACACGCCCAAAAAGTGACGAGCACCTGATTCTACCGTGTTGTGACATATTATATCCTGCTTGAATTCAGTCGATTTTGTTTTCCCCCCCCCACTTTTCTCAAAGATGACTCAGACTCCTCATCTTTCTTATCCCTTAAATTGTTATATATATATAAGTAACAGAATGTTGCCCTACTTTGTCCGAGTTGCAGAGATCCCTGACAATCTCCTCGATGAAGAACTTGGTCTTCCCGTAAGCGTTGGTGCAGCCTCCGGTCGGGTGAGCCTCATCCACGGGAAGGTACTGGGGGGTGCCGTACACGGTGGCCGAGCTGGAGAACACGATGTTCTTCACGTCAAACTCCTGCATCACCTGCCGGTGGGGGAAAAAAAAAAGAAACAAATCCATAAAAGAGGACTTGGGAGGCTTTGTGCACAAACTCCTCCCTTATCACCTAACCCACACCTTTGAAACTTTGCAGGGGCCCACAGCATCCATGAGGCTAGGACCTAACTTATAAAAAATCCACGCAAACTGCTTTCCCTGATTTTTCCAAAATACTTTGTTTCGTTCACACAGATTTCGTCCACGCATCTGACACGCTGCGTACTAACTTTATGCCCACATCGACTCAAGTTAGATCTTTTAGAATACAGGCTTCCAACCCTGCCTGCCAGGGCCAACCTGTGCTGGGAGTCATAAAAACATCCCAGTAAAAAGACGAGATACTTGATAAAAATTTCTCCCCACTCGGGAATCAAATTCAGGTCTCCCGCGTGGGAAAACAAAGCACATGATTGCTACACCAAAGACGTAAGTCCTAATCCGATCTTATCCGATCTGAGGATACACCGGTCCCGATCCGATCCTGATCCAATCTGAGCATACACCAGTCCCGATCCGATCCTGACACGATCACGATGTGATCTGAGCATACATCTGACTAACAGACACCTGTCCTAACCTGCAGCAGGTTGACTGTTCCTCCGACGTTGTTGTGGTAGTAGAGGAGGGGCAGCTCCACCGACTCGCCGACTGCCTTCAGACCAGCAAAGTGCATGACCACCGACACTTTGTACTGAAATACAACAAAACAGATGATTATGAACACGTTGATAAAGAAGCCCATTAGGCCGAAACGTTTAACTTATTTCATGTGTCAAAAATGTCTAAATACTCAAGTCTCCAATTGAAAAAAAATTCTTATTGTGCTCACGACTAAATTTCCTATTAATGATGTTACTTTTTTAAAAAATCCCTTGCCCAATTAAATGAAATTGACGCCATCTGAACAGTAGAAAAAATGCGTATGACAGTGTCCAATAGTGTATTACGTACATATTTAGTATAGCATGTAAATGTTACAGATAGTGATTCAAGGATTATAGATTAAGTCAAGGATCTGACAGCGATGGTGATATTAGAAATAATGGTGGTGATGAGTGATGATGTGAGATTGCATTTAAGTAATGTTAGCGTAAGTCCTATAACCCTCTGCTCCAATGAGTCACAAGGGACGAGGGCACTCCCTATCCCCTTCCCTGCTGGAACCATCTTTAATGTCACTGTGAAGTTCCGAAATGGTGGGCACAGTCTTTGCTAAGGTGACATTGTCAGTGTCAGCCTAATCTATCAGGCCAAGAATGATGTCGCTCTTTAAAACATAATATTATGAAACAATCTGTAAATATAATAAACAATCATAGACAGCATAATGACAGGACACAGATGAAGACAGAGCTTTGTTTATTTTTGTTTCAGCCCAGTACCCCACTAAAAACATAAAATTACTATTAAAAAGGAGGTAGAGCACTTGGCACTGTTGTTACATTAGTCATGAATAAAGAGGTTATGGTCATGACAAGAAAGCAAGATAGAAAGAAGGAAAAACCACATGTAACTCAAGACACAGCTCTTTACGCTGCCTTTTTGAACTATAGAAGGAATACAACTTGGTGCTGAAGTCCATTTTTTCGGCATAATTTTAATTGCATCTGACCACTTCCACCTCCTTTTACATAGAAAAGATTAGTCAATGACACAGCTGGTCCAAGCGCAAACAAGTAAAGCTGTTGTTGTTGTTGTTGTTGCTAGCATGCTGTGTGTGCACACGTGTGTGTACATGTGTGTGTACTCACAGTCTGGAAGATCTTCCTAATGGCGTCCTTGTCCAGAAGGTCGACCTGATGGGCCGGTACTTTCTTCCCCGAGATCTCCTCCACACGGGTCATGCTCTCTGCGCAGCAGAGAGAAAAAAAACGTGTTTCAGTTTTGAGTTTGAGTAAAACAATTTTGTTTGTTTTTGTAAGAATTTTTACGGCACTTTTACAACACAATTAGGGCACATGGTCATTGAAATTACTACTTATTAGAATTTTTGCAACAAAATTTGATCATATAAGTGTAGAAGAATAGAGGTTATATTTGTGCAGAAGAACAGAGGTGTTACAAAAGCGTAACAAACACATAAAAAAGGAGGAGGAGAGATAAGAATAATAGAAGTTTGATAGAAAAGAAGGTGCAAACCGCACGAGAACACCCGTCAATCACTCACAAAAGTGTTCCAGTTTTGAGTTTGAGTAAAATAATTTTGTTTGTTTTACTAATAGTTTTACCCCCACAAACACAATTTGACACTTTTTATGAAGTGGGCTCTTTAACCCTATCCGTACGTTGTGTTTAACTATTGTATCCATATGACGTGGGGAGCTCTGTGCCACCACTTTCCAAAGAGGAAATTTACTCGTTAATCCGATCGGTACGTTTTGCATAACAGTCTGTTAAAATGAATTTTGATAAATACTGAAAGTTTCAAAGAGATCTTCGTACTAGAAGTACATGTATTCTAAAACGTGAAGAATGCAACCCCGGGGGTACAAAATGACCCCAGGGCGTAAGGATAGGGTTAAAACCATGTCCTTGTTTTAGTAAGCGTTTTATGGCACTTGCAACATAATTAGGTCATATAAGTGCCGAAGATTAGCGATGTTACAAGACAGTAACAAACACACAAAAAAGGTAAGATGACTTTCAAGTGAGCCAGATGTCGGCATCATGATTCCCCATTTTGATTCATTTTTTTTCCTCGGACGCTCGCAAAAAAGCTGAATATATAATATTATGTAATTAATTTCTTGACCTTTCCCGACCACCCATCTCTTCAGGCTTTCCAATTCTGATGCTCCGAGTTTGCTCCTGCATAGCTTGCCTTTAGATTTACCGTGAGAGCTAGAAGCTCAAGGCCCTTGTGTTTACTTAAGTGTCCCATAAACTGAATGTGTCTCTCTTTCTGACTTTCCTTTTAAATTCAGGGAGCGGCTCACCTGGGCTTCATCAAGTGCTGCCTCTTCGATTTGTTTGTTTGTTTGTTTGTTCCAGTAAAGATAAGCACATGGAATAAAATAAAAACAGCAAGATAGATATATAGAAACAACTAAGGTGAGTAAAGAAGTAGGGGACGTACCAGTGGCGCCCTCTAACCACCAGCACTTTGATTATTTTCCTTCCAGGAAATACTTAAGTCTCTTTAAGGATATAACCCCACACTTCCTCGAAAGGAGGACCAGAACTTCCTAGGACAGATTGCGATATCAGTAACATTGACTGAAACGTGACTCCACGTGAATGCTTTAAACACGTTGCTGTTGTGTTTGTCTTAGTAAGGCTTTCAAGGCACTCGCAACACAATAAGGTCATATAAGTGCTGAAGATTAGAGGTGTTACAATAGAGTAACAAAGACCACGCAAGAGCACCCGCCAACCACCCACATACAGGCTTTGAAAAATGTTGCTAACACTGGAAAATATAATGGGCAAACGAGGCAGGGTTAGACCCACAGAAACTTTATTTTGAAAACCTGAACAGATGGCAGACGGGGAAATATCAGGATCGTGTATGATTTTTTAGAGCATCCCGGCGGAGAAATATGGAGCACCAATAGATCTATCGCCGATGTCTGTTTCATATCTGGCATTTGATGATTATGATGCACACTGACAAGGAGGAGGAGGAGGAGGAGGAGGAGGAGGAGGAGGAGGAGGTGGTGACTGACAAGGAGGAGGAGGAGGAGGAGGAGGATGGAGAGGAGGAGGAGGAAGCATATCATGCCAGGGGATCCAGAGGAGGAGGAAGCATATCATGCCAGGGGATCCACCGAACACCCAAAAGAAAAAGAAGAAGAAGAAGAAGAGAAAGAGAGAGAGAGAGAGAGAGAGAGAGAGAGAGAGAGAGAGAGAGAGAGAGAGAGAGAGAGAGAGAGAGAGCGTACTCCAATTTTCGGTGGTTTACAGTACAACCTGTTGAGCATGTTTCGCGCCGAACGTCAGCCCCACGATGTTACCACGTGCACCACTCGCTCACTCACACACTCACGGCCTCACGCGCGATCTCAACACTCAACTCTCAACACGTGCGGCCGGCCACAAATCGTCGCCCACACACCCCTCACCCCTCGCGACACCAACCAATGCACCACGTCACGTACGCTAGCGTCGAGCGCACGTCACAGCTCACGTTAACACACGTCGCTCAAGGCGACAAACGCGACAAACGCAACGGGTGAAGTTACGTTTTTATTGCTGCTTTAAAAAGTTTATGTGCCCCGTGGTCGCCAACAGACGAGCCCAGCGGGATCTGTGAGACACCATTAATGACAAACAGGTCCTGCAAAAACCACCACCACGGTGATTTTAACTCATTTTTGATCATCCGGTTTAGTAGTATAGGGTTTTACGGCGCTCGCAACTGCGTGAGGTCATATGAGCGCATCATCCGGTTCGGCGATAAAATCTGATTCTTCCGTTTTATGTATTCTTTTTATCTTTCGTAAAAGTTTTACGGCACTGGCGACATAAATAGGTCACAATAAGTACCGAAGATTAGAGGTGTGAGAGAGTAACACACACACAAAAGAACGAGGAGAGATAAGCACGACAGAATATTTGTCATGGAAGAATAAGGAGCAAACCACACATACCAGACCACCCACCGAACATCCACCCACTACTCACAAAAATAACGTCAGCCATAATCAATCAATAAACCAAAACCAAAACGAGCCTTATCATCGTTACGACCAGCGGAAAGAGGAACAGCTCACGGTACACACGAAGTGCCCCTGCCTTGATAACATCAGCAAACAGGCATTTAGTTTTAGTAAGGGCTTTACGGCACTTGCAACACACTAGTCATATGAGTGCCGAAGATTAGAGGTGTTACAAGAGACTAACAAACACAAAAGGGAGGGGAGATAAAGACGATAGATGTTTGACAGGAAGGAAGAAGCAAACCACACAAGAGCACCCGTCAGCCACCTACAAACAGGCTTTTAATCAACCTGTCAAAGCAGACAGTAAAAAAGACGAACAATCATGGCCCGGTAACAACAGATCGCCGCTTCGTAAGTCGGTCGATAACCTCGCCTTTAAAACGCGACATCGATCTCAACTTACGACGCGGATCATAAACATCCATGGCGTTGTGGAGTCCCGCAGTGGTGGAGGTAAAGATGGCGTTATTGGGACGGAGGTGGTGGCGGTCTGTTTGTTTTAGTAGAGGTTTTTCGGCGCCGGCAACTGCATAAGGTCATATGAGCGCCAGAAGATTAGATGTGTTACAAGGGAGCAACAAACATAAGAAAGAAGGAGGGGAGACAAAGACGATAGATGTTGGATAGGAAAG